AGATGGTTACGTGGGATAGGTCACTGGTGGACTGCAATCTGTATCATTAGGGGAAACTGCTGAATTGAAGCCACAGAGCCCTCTGAGAATTTGAGAGTATCACACAAATGTGTTTCTATAGAGTCATTTGTTAATATAAGTAAGTACATAATTTTAGCAGTAAATAAATAAGATAACTTGTTTGAGAAATGTTTAACTGGCTGTATTCAACACATAAGAAGCAGGGGTATTGGCTTCTTTTTCCTTGTTTTATCATTTTGTACTGATTAAAACTCTTCTTGGTGGATATCTTTCAGAGATTTCCTTCCTGTGCCATAGCTAGGAATTTCTATTCCATGTAGACTTTACATGAGCTAATCTTCTTTCCATCTGAATTTATAGAATTTATAGAATATAAGTGCCTCTGAAGTTTAGCACCAGTCAAGCTACAAGACTTCCAGTTCGTCGGCTCTAGTTAACAAGCTCTTGTTATACACAAACCACTATATAGACATTTAGCTTGTCGTTACTATTTGCTGTAAAAGCATGCTCAAATCAAGCTAAATCATGATCTCTACTGCTTTTATTGAGTTTAGTAAACTCCATTTGCAAAGGTTAGGGGCTGAAGGAGCAGAACCCGATGGTGGCATGATGGAAGCAGTGCAGTGAACTCCTGTCCATAAACTGCAGCCACATTGTGATGGGGAAGTACAGGAAAACTCACAGCGAATCCTTTGTCTAGCCCACGTCTGCATAATGAGACAGATGTGGAATCCTGCAGACACTGAGGACAATCACACAGACCTCTACTGGGGCGACGCCCAGAGACGAGTTCAAACTGGAGCTTAGATCCCAGTCAGATTGAGAAGAGGACCCATACAGAAAAGTGGCATCCCTAGGTAATGATGATGGTGGTGGTGATGATGACGATGATGTAATAATAGCTAACATTTATATAGCACCTACTATGTGCCAAATACTATACAATACTATACTTCACAGATATGATTATTTGACTCTCACAACAATTATAAGAGGAGTTATTATTATCCCCACTTTACAGATGAGGAAACTGAGACTGACAAAGGTTAAGTGACTTGTCCAAAGTCACACAGCTATGAAGTGTCTGAGGCTGGATTTGAACTCAAGTCTACCTAACTCCAGGCCTGGCAACTCTATCCATTTCAACACCTAGAGGCCCTGGGCGGTGTACAGAAAAATGAGGAAGTTCTGTAGCAGCTGCAGCGGCATCTGTGTGGCTCAGAACCCAGAGGAAGCCTACAATTCTGTTGATCGGAGCCCTGCTGATAGAAGCAGAGTCCAGTAGCAGTCAACTCCTGCATGGACCCAAATCCAGGCCAGCCCTGTGCGGGGTGGGGGAAGACAAGGAGGTAGCAAGCAGACTTTTCCCTGGGTCAGACCACTTTGGAAGTATGGAAAGCTCGCAGGCCCCCAGCCTATCCTGGAGATCCTGGAATAACACAACACTCAGAACCTCAAGGAAGCAGCAACAGGGCCAGCGCAGACCTTCCCTTCAGAAGTGTCATAGAGTCCAGCCCTAACACCAAGCCTGAGGTCAGGAAGCAGGCTGAGCCAACAAAGAACAGGCAAACATCATGAGCTAAAATGGTGGCAGGGATGTTCAAGAAACAAATGAAGAAAAGACTGACTCCAAAGCATCTCCAAGCCATGCCACAGAGAAAAATACAGGTCAGAAATCCTGAAAGATATGAAGAGTTTAAAGTGTTTTTATAGATAGAATGAGAGTGTTTAAGGAAAAAACTGGAAAAGAAATGAGAGCTATGGATGAAAGAACTGGAAAGGGCATTAACAACTTGGTACAAAGCCTTGCCCAAACAATAAACTCCCTGAAAATTAAAATGGAATGAAGACAAGCCAATGACTCCATGAGACAGAAAATATTAAAATAAAATCAAAAGGCTGAAAAAAATAGAAGAAAATGTAAGGTATCTCATAGCAAAAACAACTGACCTGAAAAACAGATCAAAGGATGAGGCCTACCCTTTTTTTTTTTTTTGGAAATTAAAAAAAAAAATTAAATTAGTAACCACTGGACTGTTGGAACACCATTACCATAAAAAGAGCCTCAGCATCGTATTTTAAGAAATATTAAAAGAAAACTTCCCAGAACTCTTAGAACTAGAGGGCAAAGTGGAAATAGAATCCACCAGTCACTTCCTGGAAAAAAACCCCCAAAATGAAAACTCCCAGGAACACCATGGCCAAAATCCAGCTTTCAGGTCACAGAAAAAAGTACTACAAGCAGCCAGAAAGAATTCAGCTACTGAGGAGCCACAGTCAGGATCACACACGACTTAACAGCCATTCCTATAAAGGAGTGGAGAAGGTGGGGAAATATTCCTGAAGGCAAAGCATGTGGACTTAGAGCCAAGGATAACCTACCCAGCAAAACTGGGTATAACACTACAGGAGAGGAAAAAAATGGATCTTTAAAGAAACAGAGGAGGAAAATACCAGAGCTGTACAGAAACTCTGAAGTTCAAACACAAGAATAAAGAGAAACCTAAAAAGGTAAACATGAATTAGAATAATGGACTAAAAAAGGATAAAGTAGGTGCATTCAAATATGAGATGATGTGTCCCTCTGAATCCTGTCACCATCAGAGTTCACAGAGGGAGTATAGTTAGACGAGGCCTAAGAGTATATCTGTCTTGATATTAAGAAAGAAAAGGAGGGGCAGCTAAGTGGCACAGTGGATAGAGCACTGGCCCTGAAGTCAGGAGGACCTGAGTTCAAATCTGACCTCAGACCAAACACTTGACACTTACAGCTGTGTGACTCTGGGCAAGTCACTTAACCCCAATTGCCTTAAAAAAAAAAGGGAGGAAGGGGAATACATTGGAGGTGGGGAGCAGGAGAGGAAGGAAAGTTAGAGATATCTCATAGAATCAGGGTGCACAAGTAAACATCAATAAAAACAAGAAGGGGGTGGGGCAAAGTGGCTGAAACCTGAACCTCCCTCTCATCTCTGAACTGATCAAAAGCACACACACACACACACACACACACACACACACACACACACACACACACACACACACGAGTTGGAACAGGAAAACAGAAAGAAAAGGGGAGAAAGGGAAGGAGTTAGAGGGAGGCCATAAGGGAGGGATTAGTCCTAAGCAAAATAAACTCAAAGTATGGACAGAACTATTTACAGCCTTTTTTGTGGTGGCAAAAAATGTTAATCAGAGGTAGTGCCCATAAATTGGGGAATGGATGAACCAGTTATTGTAGATAAATGTGATAGGGTACTACTGCGCTGAACTCTTATCAATATAATTACCAACCAGGACTTCAGAGGGCTAATGATGAAACATGCCACCCACTCCCGATTACGGTGAAGGACTCAGAAGAATGAGACTGATATTTTTTAGAATGTGGCCAGTTTGTAAATTTGTCTTGGTTGACTACACATTTGCAATGGGTTTTTTCTTGTGTTTTTAATGGAAGAGGGACGGAATTAGGGTAGGAGAGAAGATTAAAACAAAAAAGAAGTACATATGTATGTCTACACATACAATACATACGTGCACACAAATATACAGTCATATATGTGTACATGTGTGTGTATACATGTATAAAAAGAAAACCTGGGAAGTCTGACCAACAAGTAACCAGCACAAATTCTGAGGAGTCATGATCAACATAATGCTCACCTCCAGAGAGGTGATGAACTCAGCAGATTGAGACATTTTTTCAGACATAGCCAACATGAAAATGTTCTGCTTGACTATCCACGTTTGAAACGAGGGTTTTTGTTTTTCTTGTTTTCTCAATGGGGAGAAGGTGGAAGGAGGTGGGAGAGAGAAGGCTAATCTTTGTTTGAAAATAATAATTAAGAAAAAAGTTAGGGGATGGTGAGAATTGAGTCTTGGAAAAGGGAACATGTACTTTCACAGTATTATTTACAAATATTCCCCCTAGGCATGAGGATAAAACTAAAGAGGGATGGAGGGAGTGGGAAAATGGTCCCAAAAGATGGTACCCTAAGCAGATAAACACCTTATGTAGCGTCTAGTTTTCTGCTCTTCAGATCACTGTCTCTCCATCCAATATCCAACTTTTCTCCACTTGGAGAAGGCAAAAAGACTTAGTGTATTATGGCAACCCAGCACATCAACCCTTTGACCCTACCCTTTACATATAGTTCAATTCTATAGAACTTATCTTTTCCATAGAATCTGCTGGAGCAGGTAACAAGGATTTACCCCAACCAAAAACAGGAGTTCAGAACAGATACTCCAAGCAAGGGATCATTATCACAACTAAGGGTCCCTTCTGGGATTGTCAAGTATAGCTATATGCTTTATATGACAAAAATTAAAAAAATATATATCCCTAAGAAGAATGCCCTTCTCCTCTACAAAGAAACTAAGGTAGATGAGAGGTCCTTCAGTAAAACTATGGAGCTAAAAATTAGAACTCGAGTCTCTTGACTCACTCCTCAAGTTTTATCCCCAAACCACATGAGCTATATGCTAAGTTGGGAGTGGTTAGAATTGGTGCCTTTGAAAGGGAGAAAATTAGCAGAGATTGGTAGCTATAAGACATTTCATCCGGAACGCTGGTAAAGATTTTACTTTGGGGACTTCTTTACTTCATAAATTGACAAGCTGGGGCCTGGTTAAGTCAGTCACCTCTGAGTCATACAATTTCTAGGTCAACCTTTTAGAATCTTGCTCAATGTTGTTTCTTTCCCAAAATCAGAAAAAGACAGAAAAAAAATCTGTTTTCACAGAAAAGCTATTAGCACCAGGAGTGTTTTTGTCTCTTAAGTTTCCTTAGGCCACTAAATAAATTTCTGATATAATTTTCTGCTGAACTCCAAAGGAAATTAAACACTTTCTTTTGTAATGCTAGGGGTCAGAGTTTACCTCTAATTACAACCCTCCTATAGGCACACTGCTTTGCAAACACATTAAGTGAGCCCTGTTGCTGCTGTTTCCAGCAGTTTAATCACAGTAGATTTGTAGACCAGAGTCATAAAGTAGCTTTTATTGGCATATCCCAGGAGAAGGTGTAGAAATCTCTGAGCAAAGGTGTCTACCTCAGCAAAGAATTCCATGTGACCCATCACTGAATCAGAACTTTTCATGTCCCACAGAGATGCAGCCAGGTCAGCAGAAGGCTTCCAAATCAACAGGTCAAGCATTGTTGTTCCATGAAGATCCAAAGAACAGATCCTGGAATTTTGCCCATGCATGTGTATGGCTGCAGAGGCAGTAGTTTCTATTTAGAGTTCAAGACTTCTTTTATGGGAACTTGACTCCACCTGTTCCCAAGTTAGGAGCAGGATGTCTCCACTTAGTTCATTCAGTGTTACACAAATGTCTACCTAAGCTCCATCATCTCCTGACTTTAGAGTATATGATCATCAGGATGGTAGAGTTCACTCATGAGGCGGTAAATATAGGAGGGTGCATTCCCACCAATGTTGGAGATAAAGAGGGTGATCAGCTCTGGTGGGACATAGTCAAACACAGGACAATGAACACTGACCTTCTCCAAAATGTCCCCTGAAAGGCAACAAGAATAAATTTAAGAAATATTGTCTAGTTTAGTTACTCTGATCAATACAATGATCTAAGAACATGCCAAAGGAATCATGACGAAAAATACTATCCACCTCCAGAGAAAGAACCAATGAACTTTGAGTGCAAACTGAAGTATAGTTTTTCTCACTTTCCTTATTTTTCTTGCCTTTTTTTTGGGGGGGGGGTACAACATAGCTAACATGGAAATATATTTGGCATGATTTCACAAGTATAATTGATATTATATTGCTTGCCTTCTCAGTGGGTGGGAGAAGAGCAGGAGGGAGAGAATTTGGAACTCAAAAATTCTTTTAAAGTATTAAAAATAAGAACTATTGTCTAGGCCTCGAGCAACAGCAGTCAGGAAGAGTTTCAAATCAGTATTAATTATTTCTGGGGATGTTGCTAGATCTTTACTTAATGAATTAAGCTGCTTCACCTCTGAGGAAAACAGAAAAGGGGGTCCACAAGCACTTGGCAGAGAGTTTCATAAGGAGAAATGATTCAAAGCTACCCGTCTGTGGCAATGATATCATCAAAATAACCCCCACAAGGATCAGAACTGAGCTTCAATTTACTGCACCTCATGTAATTCTTAACACTGTTATCTTTTCCACAGGTCTGTTATACTAAAGTATCATAGTCTATTTGCAAGCTCAGATCCAGTCATCCTTACCTCCATCATGTCACCTAAAAGCTCAATTAGTCTAAAATAAATTGAATGTTTTAAAACCATGAAGTGCCAAAATGCCATAAATGGGGTAAGAATCACAGACACTAGAAAATAATAATTCCTCTACTTCCTTCCTCCTGGTCATCACTGAAGGCAGTGATGGGGCAGTCCATTACTATTCCTGTATGACAGGGAACCCTGAATCTGAATTGCAACCCAGTCCCATCTAACCCGACAAATCAGCTTTAAAAAACAAAACCGTACCCTCCGTGAATGGTAAGACTTCTTCAGGAGCTACAAACTTGTGGAATGAATCTTCTTCATTGGGAAACTAGAAAACAAAAGATATAACAAGAAATGACATAAGTAAATCAGGAAGCAGCTCTCCCTAGAGTCAGAGGAAGAGAAGAGCCCTTACCTGCGGTGAAAGCTTAAACATGGGCGCACAAACAATGAGCGGAGTGGAGTGGTGCTTAGCTGCGAGGGCCAGGGTGTGAGTTCCTGCCACTGCTCTCAGGGCACCATTGGCTAGGATGGTCTTTGTGCCAATGATCACCTTTGGAATGAAAAGATTGTGACGAGCCACTTAGAGAATGGGCAAGTGGGGTGGGGGGGGGGACAAGGGAAGGGTTCAGAAAACAAGTCTAATTAGAGGCCACTGAGAACAACAGCTAATTTAGAATCAAAGCCCTGGAGTCTTCCAGACACAAGTAGACAAGATAAAAAGAGTTCAGGTCCTGTAACTACCAAGAGTGAACTAGATCCCTTTTTCTCAACTGCCTATTTCATGTTCTGGTTTTTACAGGAAAATGGGTGGGGAATGAGGCAAAAGGCCTCTTTGACTCTTGTGATGTCTTGATGATAGATAAGTTTTAGTCTCCTGACAGCTTTCACTACAATAAGTTTGCTGAAAATGAAAGAAAATCCCTAGGCCAGTAACAGCAAGGGCCTTAGACAGATGTAAAAAACCAAACCCGCAACTTTATTTACTTTGTCATCGATTTTTTTCCCCCTAAAGTGCCTTCTATTAGAGCTAGTAAAAGAACTACCTATAGTGAAAGCTTCAACATGTTTGCATGTCTCTATGCTGTTAATAAGTGAGCAGATGCCAGAGAAGATGTGAAATTCAATAGCCATATATATGCAGTGAACAAAAGTTCTATCTATGCTTACCACTTTTAGCCATGTTCACTACTTAGCAAGGAACAGAATTTTACTTCCTCTCAGTAGGAGGTGCCCCTATTCATTTACTACATTTCACCTGCCAAGTTCTCAATGAAACTCTAAACACAGCACACAGTCTCTTCTTCCCAGACACTGAGGGCTCACATACATGCTGTTTGTTCCACCTTCAGCCCTACATTCCTTTCACTGCTCTTCCAAATATCTGAGAGAGTCTAAGCAGGGGCACAGAGAATGGGAATGAATATAGGGAAAGAGGAAGGGAATTCTGTAACTGGATCAACAGTCTCAATATATATATCTTCAAATAATATCAAGAACTTTCCTTTTTCCCAGAGATATGACGGGGAAGAATGAAAACTTTAGGAGCCCATAGGAAAGGAATACTTCTTATGCTAACAGCCAATACCTCTGCGTTACCTTTTTCCATTTCCAGTAATTCCAGACATACTCACTTTGTTGACTCTTGACATAACAGCAAAAATAGCAGCATCAGTCATGACAGTTGTTTCAATACCCTCCTTGGCCAGATTGACTGCCATCTTATGGCCCTGAAATAAGAGGCAGAAACTGATAAGCCCAGTAGAAGGTAAAGAGTGTGCTTTCAAATGCAATTGGGGCTGATCTGTTTCTAAAAGTTCATTCCACTACGGCAGAAGTTCTTGGAGTAAGTTCTGGCAACACTGAGGAAGAACTCTGACAGCAGATGGGATGCTAGTAAACACAGCAACTAGTCCTCAACACTTATTTGGAGCAGCCATAAAACTAGACGTTCTACTAGACAGAGCCACTAGGTACAGCTGGTCAGGTTGGTCCCAGCTTGCAATTCCATCTTGGATTCTGACAAATGTCCTTTATGTTCCTAGGAATTGAGGTCAGCCCAAGTACCAGTCATTTCTAAGAATCCTTGCCCTATTTAGATCCCTAAAGAGGATATCATACACTACTGATTTAGTGCCGAAAACAACCTCTGAGACCATTAATTCCAGCTGCTTCGTTCTTCATATGAAGAAACAGAGGGCCGGGGAGATTGTGACTTCCCCAAAAGGTCACACTGATAGTAAGGGACAGAACTGGTATTTGAATCTAGATCCTCTGACTTTCCACTATATCATTCTCAACTCTTATGTCCTAAGCTCTGCAGTTCACTACTGCTTTCTCAAACCAACTATCACATTTTTTGACCAGTCACGTGATTTCACTTCTGGTGAGGAAACTCCTTCTCCCAATGCAGATGCAGGTGCAACACATATTAGTTTTTGGTTAATTCCACTAACATCTCACTACATAGAGTTATCTTAATTTTTTCCATCATATCAGACATCTTCCCCCCAAGTCATCATTACCCCTTGCTCACCAATTCAGTCAGAATGGACCCTACCATCCCTTCCTTTATTACCTCCTCCCATCTTTATCATTTTTCCGTAGCTCCTACAGTACCTGGCAGAAAGGAGCACACTCAGCCACAATAACATGAAATTTTCGCTTTTGGGCAGCCACTTTGAGGAAGGCTTCAACAGTTCGGGAGTATCCAATGGTCATGATCACCTCGTTGGAGTGAATGTGCTCCAGAGCCTGCATTGCTATGTTCTCAGTTGTCCCTTCTGTAAGCAGTCAATTCATAGGAAAATTAAGCACCAAGTTGTGAAGAAAGATTTGTGTCTTTCACACACCATCCTACCAGCCACATTATAGGGAAACTAGATCTTAGAGGCACCACACCAAAAATGGCTGAAATTAAATATTACAAAAGCCAAATTTTTACTCCTAATCTCAAAAGTGCAGCCACCTTGCCCCTATCCTTTAAAAAAACTCACCCCTATTTGAAGCCCACGTCACTCTGGCTGCTATGAAATCTACTAGCAGGGGCACTTATTTCACTGATGAACTTTTGTTAATCTCCAGAGACCAACTCCAGTGAAGCAATATCACAATAACAATAATCATAGATAACATTTATACAGTGCTCTAAGGTTTACAAAGTGCTTTACAAATATGATTTCATTTGATCTTTATCACCACCCTGTGAGGTAGTGCTATAATCATCACTACTTTATAAATGAGGAAGCTTTGACTGTGAGAAGTTAAGTGATTTGCCCAGGGTCACAGAGCGAGCAAATATCTGAGTCAGGATTCAAATTCAGGTGTTTCTGACTCTAAGTCCAGCACTCCATCCACCACACCATATAGCTATTCCAAGACTAAAGGCCTAGCAACCATGGTTTTGAGTATTTTTTTCCTCAAACATGAATTCAAAGCACAGTCTCATACTGTGAATTTATTTGTTTCTTTATTACTGACGCAAGTTAAATTTAATTACTGAGTCTCTCTCTCCTAATGTGGGCACAGCTCAGGGATCTTCAGTCTAGACTTCAAGTCTAGAAGAAGTATGTTATTGGTCTGGAAAGCAAAATACACAGCCGTAACCAAACCTGCCATGTGTCTCAACCCTGGCTTCCCAGCAAAAAACAGAGGAGAAAAGTTTAGGAAGAATCATAGACTAGATTACTTTCTATCTCTGTTGCTAGACACCCATAAAGACCCTTTCCCTTATCTGAGGAGACATGCTAATTAGCCAAGGCCCAGTCACACACTCACCCAGCTCGATCAACAGCTCATTAATAACTTCAATGATATTGGCTTGGAGTTGGGCATAGTGAAGACTAAAATCTTCATTCAGGCCTCCAGCTGTCAAGAGCTTGTGTAAGGACTCCTGCTGATCACTCTCATCACTTCGCCCATGGAGTCTGAGGATATAAGACTCGTTATCAGAGGGATGGGTAAGGAGGAAGGATCTTAAGAGGGGCAGTAATCGTCAAAGATCATAATAATCGGTAGGGATCTTAAAGATAATCTAGTCCAAATTCCCTAAATTTATAACTAAAAGATGAAGAAATCAAGGCCCAGGCAGAAAAAATGACTTGGCCAAGATCACACAGGAGGCCGGTAGGAGAGTTAGGTCTCAAACCCAAATCCTCAGTCTCAAGAGTCCAGCCCACTTTTCCCTATATCAGAGAACCAAAAAAGGTTAAGGCCCCGAGGAATGACGTGATTTCCCGGGGCAGTGTTGTTGCTACTGCAGTGGCTGACCCAAGACTGGAGAGTAGCCTCATTCAGGGGCTCTTTCCACCACTCCAATTCCAAAAGACACAACACTGGGGGGAGAGGGCTGGGAAGGGGAGTGATACGTTCCTTGGCCCTTTCTGGACAGTTCTCTCTGGGACAGAGGAGCCTTGCACAAGCAGGCCACTCACGCTTGCCAACAGCTAACATCCCACCCACCCTTTCCCCTTCAACTCTACTGTCTTCCACCTGGGATTAGCTACAATTGATCCTGTATCTTGTTTGTGCGAAGCTGTCTGCACGTCGCCTGCCCCGTTAGACCGCAAGCTCCGGGGGAGCAGGTCCTTTTGCCTTTCTTTCTATGCCCGGCGCTTCGCACGGTGCCTGGCAAACAGCAGGCGCTAAGTTAATGTTTACCCCGGGGCGGGGGGAGGGGGCCGCCACCGGCTGACCTGCCGTACTCCTCGCGGATGATCTTGAGCACCCTGCGCACCATGTTGCCCACGGTGGTCTCCGAGGGCTGAGCGGCCGTCATCCGCCGGCCCTCCTTCCGGATGAGCTCCATCAGCTCCCCTGCAGCCAGGGAGGGGACAGCATGAGCGGAGGGCTGTCGGGCCTTGCATCCTCCCCCCGACCCTAGAGGCCACCCCGGCCTCGGCTGCCGCCCCCCTCACCGGCGTTGCTCCAGCGCCCGTGGGCCACGATCCGATGGAGCAGCCCCACCGTCTCCCGGGCCATGTCCTCCGAGCTGCGCTGGCCCCCGCCCCGCTTCAGCGCCTCCACGAAACCCTCGATCCGCTCGGACAACTCTGTCCCTTTGTCGGCGGCGCCCGGCATCCTGAAGGCTGACAGCTCCACCGCAGAACCGAGGGTACGAGGCAAGGAGACGCGCCGCCACAGCGAGACTGACGCAGACTTCTACTTCCAGGGCGATCAGGGCATGCTTCCGGTCCTCACCCCCCCACCCCCTCCTACGAGCCAATCAGAGACCTGAGGCTCTAGTCATAGAGCAAAGGAAGCGGAGCGTCCATTTGCCATCCGTAAGGAGAAACGGAAGTGTGAATGAAGTCTCCCTTACCTGGCACGCCGCGGGTAATGTCTGTCCCCACAGTCCTCCAGACTCTATGACCCGTCACTATGGAAACGACAAAGCCCCGAGCCCAGGCCTGTGGTGGGAGGCTGTCTCCTTTTCCCCTCTGCATGGAGGTCAATGAAGTTGGGGTCCACCGTAGCTGTGCCGCAGAATCTCAAAGCCAACTCATATCCAAAATATAAATGGCATTGTAAACTCCCACCTGCCATAGCTCCAGTGGGGATGGTTGTCCAATCTGTACCTGAGCACATTCAATGAAAGGGAATTCACCATTTTTCACTTTCCCCCCACTAAATAGTAGTTTATTTTTTCCAATTACATGTAAAAATAGTTTTCAACATTCACTTTGAGAAGATTTTGGGTTCCAAATTTTTTTCTCCTTCCTTCTCTCCCCTCTCCCCCCCCAGACAGCAAACAATCTGATGTAGGTTACACATGTAAAATTATATTAAACATATTTCCGTATTAGTCATGTTGTGAAAGAAAAAACAGAGAAAACTGCGAGAAAGAAAAATAAAAAGTGAAAATAGTATGCTTTGATCTGCATTCAGCCTTCATAGTTCTTTCTCTGGATATGGATAGCATTTTTCATCATGAGTCTTTTGGAATTGTCTTAGATTGTTGCATTGTTGAGAAGAGCCAAATCTATCAAAGCCGATCATCCAACAATGTTGCTGTTACTGGGTACAACCTTCTGGTTCTGCTCACTTCACTCAGCATCAGTTCATGTAAGTCTTTCCAGGTTTTTTTGAAATCTGCCTGCTCATCATTTCTTATAGCACAATAGTATTCCATTACATTCATATACCACAACTTGTTCAGCCATTCCCCAGTTGATGGCATCCACTCAATTTCCAATTCTTGGCCACCACAAGAAGAGCTACTATAAATATTTTTGTGCATGTGGGTCCTTTTCTCATTTTTATGATCTTTTTGGGATACAGACCTAGAAGTGATATTGCTGGGTCCAAGGGTTTGCACATTTTTATAGTCCTGTGGGCATAGTTCCAGATTGCTCTTCAGAATTGTTAGATCAGTCCACAACTCCACCAACAATGCATTAGTATTCCAATTTTCTCTTATCCCCAACATTTATAATTTTCCTGTTTTGTCATGTTGGCCAATCTGATAGATGTGATGTGGTACCTCAGAGTCGTTTTCATTTCTCTAATCAATAGTGATTTAGAGCATTTTTTCAGGAAACTATAGATAGCTTTAATTTCCTCATCTGAAAACTGCCTGTTCATATCCTTTGACCATTTATTAATTGGGGAATGACTTGTGTACTTACAAATTTGACTCAGTTCTCTATATATTTTAGAAATGGGGCCTTTATCAGAAACACTGGCAGTAAAAATTGTTTCCCAGCTTTCTGCTTTCTTTCTAATCTTGGTTGCATTGGCTCTGTTTGTACAAAACCTTTTTCATTTAATATAATCGAAACTGTCTATTTTACATTTCATAATGTTCTTTATCTCTTATTTGTTCATAAATTCTTTCCTTCTCCATAGGTCTGACAGGTAAACTATTCCCTGCTCTCCTAATTTGCTTATGGTATCACCCTTTATATCTACATCATATGCCCATTTTGACCTTATCTTGGTATCCAGTGTAAGACTTTGGTCTATGCCTTGTTTCTGCCTTACTATTTTCCAGTTTTCCCAGCAGTTTTTGTCTAATAGTGAGTTCTTATCCCAGAAGCTGGAGTCTTTGGGTGTATCAGATAGTAGATTACTATGGTCATTGACTACTATGTGTCTTGTGTACCTAATCTATTCCACTGATCTACCTCTCTATTTCTTAGCTAGTACCAAATGGTTTTGATGATTGCCAGTTTATAATACAGTTTTAGATCTGGTACAGCTAGGCTCCTTCCCTTTGCATTCTTCTTTCATTAATTCCCTTGATATTCTTGACCTTTTGTTCTCCTAGATCAATTTTGTTATTATTTTTTCTAGTGCTGTAAAATAATTTTTTGGCAGTTTAATTGGTGTGGCACTGGAGTTCACCATTTTTCAAGGCCACACATTGCAATTATTGGTCAGCTTTAATTTTTAGAAAGGCGTTTTCTTTTTCTTTTTTCTTGTATTGAGTGAAAAATGCTGCTTTTTTGAAGCTTCCATGCATTGCTCCCACATACCTGTTATTGCCAAGCACAAGTCTGATCCCTCTTCCTTCAAATACTTGAAGACAACTACCATATGTCTCCTAAGCCTTCTTCTCCAGGCTAACCTCCCCAACTCCTTCAACTAATCCTAAAATGGCATGGTTTTGAATCCCTTTGTTATCATGGATATATTCCCATGGACTAGATTCCAGTTAGCTGGGAGCAGGGAGGGTGAGCCTTTGTTTGAGACTTACATGACCTTGGTACCTTCCAGAGAATGGGTTTCACCAATGCTGTGTGATCTGATTGGTTCCTTCTATTTCATAATAAACTCATGATAGGAGCCAGCTCTTTGAGCTACCCCCTAAAAGGATACTAACAGGCCCTTATTTTCTTTTTGTCTCTTTTTCTGAGAGAGCAGGAGAGCTAAGAGCAGACTTAGATTTTCAAAGAAATAAGATAGGTCTCTTCTCCCTACCGCCCCCCAAAACACACATACATTTAAATCTAGGAGCTGTTAAAATCTGTTAAAATCAAGCTGTAAGCTTGTGTCAGTGTGAACCGAGAGGAGAGTTTCAGAACCGCAAAGTCCAACAATTTTCACTCAGCTTCACAGATTCTCTGTTCAAGAGAAACCAGTAATTGAAGTATCACAATTTCCGGGAAGGTATATAACAAAGCCAGATGCACTTGCCCCTGTAGCATGACAGGAAAATTCCTGAACAATGCTGAGTTCTTGGCCCCAGCCATAGAGAGGCAGGGGCATAACCTTTCAAGCACATGGCAGTCATGGAAAGGGGTGCCATTTGTTTAAGTTTTGGCCAGTCCTGAGGGTTACTTCTCTAGCATTCCCAAGTTTGAGTGATGAAATCAAGTTAGGTATTCTAGCCAGGAAAAAAAAAGGATGTCACTACCAGCATGATGCCAGAATCTAGACTTTTAGCCAGAGAAGGGAGATTCCTTAGCTGTAGGGGCTGCTTTGTGAGCTATCCCTGTAAGAGTATGTTATTTGGAAAGAGTGAGTTTGATAAGAAAAAGGTTGCTTGCCTATCTAGCTTCCGTTCTGGGGGAGTTCCAAATGGTGAAGTTGTACGATAGAGGACTTTAGGATCTTGGGAAAAGTGAAATATCACCAAAGAATAATATTGAATGATTATGGGCAATTGGGATTCCTTTATGTATTTTCTGTTTTTCTTTATGGGCTCCCATGAAGTCTTTGCATTTTTTGTATTTTCCATGGAGCAGAATAAAAGCTGTTCTATACCTGGTGAGCATACTGTTACCTTGAGTGCTTGTACAAGATTCTGTGTGTGGTTTGTCCTTTGTTCTTGAAGAGGACCATGTCATTAGGAAGATGATGTCATGACTTGCAATTGAATTGGATCTGAGTGAGAGAGGAATGTGCAAAGTCACCAGCCTCCCTCTTCTCCTCCAGAGCCATCTGGGTCCAATGGCCAGATATAGATCAGGACAACTGGAGACGGCCCAGAATGCAGTGAGAGACGATGGCCCTTTAGGAAAGGAGCCATATACCCATATTTGGGAAGAGCTAGATAAGAATTATATTTGGAGGTTTTCCTAGAGTAAACTCTATCAGGGTGGGAACCTGTGGCCTCAAGGACACATATGGCCCTCTAGGTCCTCAAGTGCAGCCCTTTGAATGAATCCAAACTTCACAGAACAAATCCGCTTAATAAAAGGATTTGTTCTGTAAAACTTGGATTCAGTCAAAAGGCCACACCCAAGGACCACAGAAAGCCACATGTGGCCTCAAGGCCACAGGTTGCCCACCCCTGCCAGTCTAGGTGAAGGAACAACCAGCCAAAGAGAGTAATATTTTTGGCGTTATCCTTTAAGATCAAACCCAGTCTGTGTAAACACAGAGCTTTGGGCTTCTAGGCTATGGGTTACAATAATAACACATTTATTTAGTGCTTTGTACTTTTCAAAGTACTTTCTTTCTTTTTTAAATTTTATTAATTTATTTTGATTTATCAACAATCACTTCCATAAGCTTTTGAGTTGAAAGTTCTTCTCCCCCTTCCTCCCCTCCACCCTTCCCAAGACAGCGCACAATCTGATATAGGCCTTACATTTACATTCCTATTAAACATATTTTCACATTAGTGAAGTTGTAAGTAAAAATTAAAACCAATAGGAGGAACCATCAGAAAAATGAAACAAAACTCAACAGAAGGTAAAAATAAGTGATAGCGATTTGACTTCCATAGTTCTTTCTTTGGATGTGGACAGCATTTTCCATCCCGAGGCCTCTGGAGATGTCTTAGATCCCTGTAATGCTGAGAAGGGTTCAGTTTAACAATATTAGTCACTGCATAATATGGCTGTTATTGTGTACAAAGTCCTCTTGGTTCTGCTCACTTCACTCAGCATCAGACCATATAAGTCTTTCCATGTTTTTCTGAAGTCAGCCTGTTCATCATTTCTTATAGCACAATAATATTCCATTACATTCATATACCACAACTTGTTCAGCCATTCCCCAATTGATGGGCATCCTCTCAATTTCCAATTCTTTGCCACCACAAAAAGAGCTGCTATGAATATTTGTGTACATGTGGGTCCTTTTCCCATTTGTTTGATCTCTTTGGGATATAGCCCTAGAAGTGCTATTGCTGGATCAAAGGGTATGCACATTTTTGTAGCCCTTTGGGCATAGTTCCAAATGGTTCTCCAAAATGGTTGAATCATTTCACAACTCTACCAACAATGTACTAGTGTTCCAATTTTCCCACATCTTCTCCAACATTTATCATTTTCCTGTTTTGTCATGTTGGCCAATCTGATAGGTGTGATGTGGTACCTCAGAGTTGTTTTGATTTGCATTTCTCTAGTCAATAATGATTTAGAGCATTTTTTCATATGACTATAGATGGCTTTAATTTCTTCATCTGAGAACTGTCTGTTTATATCCTTTGACCATTTAACAACTGGGGAATGGCTTGTGTTCTTCTAAATTTGTCTTAATTCTTTATGTATTTTAGAAATGAGGCCTTTATCAGAGAGACTGGTTTTAAAATTTCTTTCCCAATTTTCTTCTAATCTTATTTGCATTGGCTTTGTTTGTGCAAAAACTTTTCAATTTAATGTAATCAAAATTATCCATTTTGCTTTTCATAATGTTCCCTATCTCCTGTTTGGTGATGAATTCTTCTGTTCTCCATAGATCTGATAGGTAAAC